TCCCAATAAGTGTGTTTATCTGGGAGGGGTGCTGTTGGATAGATCATGTGCGTTGTGATTCATTCAGCCATACCTTCCGCTGTTAAGATAATATGACTGATAGATAATTAGTTATGAGTGGTACTGCATTTTAATTTTAGAAAGCGCAAATCCGCTTATGAATTATAAAAATTAGTGAGACYGCTAAAGCTCAAATGAAATATTTTGGTCCGCAATTAGCGGATTTGCGCTTTAGCRGGCTGATGCCCACCACYGCGTCTGATGTTACCATCTACTTATAAATGACAGAATGCAGGTGATGTTTATGAAGCAATCAATATTATTTCCTTTATCTGTCAGTATTTAGACTGTTTGCCTCTTTCCCAGTTTGGGTTAAGTGGTCCTTTAATACCACTGCATTTGCCTAAATGGYAATTTGTGGTGTGGAGAGTTGCTTTGACTGGTTGAAGATGGGGTCCTGCCCTCTGGTGACCAAATCACTGAACCCGAAGTATTCTTAATACTCACCAGAAGGCTGGCCCTTACCTGCATACACAACTCCACCTCCTCCTCCTCCTCCTCCTCTGCTCTGATCGGCAGTTCATTCACTGAAAAGCTTTTTCAGCCTTTGAGAGGCTTTTGGAGGACAGAAGTCTGGACTATTTGTGCTGCAGATCGGGGCGTGTGCTGTACTTAGACTGAAGCCTCCCCAGAGAAAGAAATAATGATAGAAGATGATGATAACTTAAAATGACACAGCTGTGATGGTCCGTATTCAAACATTGAAACACACACATACACACACTGACTATTTGTTTGTGTGTTTTGGCCATCTGAAAACCTAAGGAGATCCTAAGGGATCCTGGGGGATAATAGCCTGTAATCCTGTCAGCAAATGGACTGAAATGAGGCGAGAGAAGAGGCAACCCAATTACCCAGCCCCTGATACTGGCAGGATTATTTAGTATTAGCATATGTGTGAAAAGATATCAGGCTGTTTAGTTTGGCTTGATGCGTATTGAAAGAAGAGAAGAAGGAAGAGGACGATAATAAGCAGAAGGCAAAGTGATTTAGCTCAGCCTCGCTGTGTCTCTTCATTCATGTAAATAACAAAAAAAGAGGCCTGTTTGCCTTTCCATTAGTGACAGCTGGAGATGTTTAGAGAGTAAGTGGAACTGATTATCACAGTTTTACGTAAACAAATTACATACTGTATACATACGTATATATTTTCTTTATATAATTTTTACAAACACAACAAGACAATTATTCTATTACTGAGAAAGACACAATTTCTAGCCCAAGTTTTAGTAAAGCATGCATAGTGCTGCACAATAAATTAATCAGCCATAAAATTACACTCCTGACCAAAATTTTAAGACAGATTGGAAAATGGAAAGAATTCACATTTTCACTGCTGGATCATAAATAGGTTCTAAGTAGAACTTTGAAATGGTCCTCCCCCCATCCAAGTAAGTATTAAACTAAAATAGGTTGTTCATCAGCTGATCACAAGTTTAACACCACATGTCAAAAAAACAAAAACCTCGCTAAAATAGAAATAAATAAATAAAATAAAAAACAGGGACTCAGTAATGAGCAGTTGAGTCTTGTTATTCACCTCAAATATTTAGTTTTCGCATTCTCGAAGTCGGCGCGATGTCATTCAGTCACCTTATTCAGTCAACCTCCATTTTTATGGGGGAAAACTGCAGCTGAAGGGAGCAGGAAACACGGTAATCTCATGGAAAAAAACACTGCTGTCGATCGTCAGTCTCATCTTTCTCTTAAACCGAAAAAAATATAACCCCTCAGACCTCCTTTTTGACTGAGGCTCAAAGTTATCTGACAAGCATTATTTAGGACGTGACCCCAACCCATCGATCCATATCGTCCGTCCATCATTTCCAGTTAGGAATCGTAGCCTCAGGCTTAGAGTAGCTGCCTCTCATCCCAATGTTGAAGGTTACAATCTGAAGACCCCATCAGAACCACATCATGTGTTTAAAGCCAAGGCGAGACCCTCAGGTTCCCTAACCAGACACCCTCCTCTGCAAACATTGGATAAGGATTTCAAATTTGCTGGAAACCTCAGTCTTACTTTTCCATAAAACAAGGGATTAAAAAGAACCATTTGCTATGTGTCAGAAGACTCAAAAAACTTACAAATAATATTTTTGAAGAACTAATGTAGTTTTACAAGCTGTATGTTTTCACCTATTTGGTCACATCAAGGTGATAAAGACACAAACAGGTTACAATAAAACAAAGTTCATGTTTCTTTATATTGTTGTTCAAATTGATGTTTAGGCTTTTAAACTTCAACACATAGTTACACTGATTCAGTTCTAATGGTACGTTTTATAACAAAAAAAATCTTACAAACTTATTAATAAAAGTTTGAAGGCTCACAATCATTTTTTACTTGCAGATATTTAAGTAGGTTCTTACTGGGCTGATGTTTAATCTAAAATAAGAGCAGTCACTTATAGGCAACAGCTAAAACAATCTGACAAAACTGATTTAGTTATAAACACCCACCAGACACTGTCTAATTGGCAAAAACATACATTTTGTTTCTTTAATAAACTGGATCACTCACCTTGAAAAAAAGTAAAAGTCAATTTATAGCTGTGGTTAACGTGAGTGGGGAGCGAGTCCAGGGTCTCATCAATCTTACCAAAACAGTATCAGACATGGTGTCACTGCAGGTCACAGACTTTGCATGTTAACAAACCATTTGCTAAAAGGAATAAATCAATATGCAAATGCATTTAACAGGACTCGGGTCTAGCAGATTGGTAGACTTCACGCTTGGGAGGGTTGAGATGAGAATTAAGAGTTGCTGCTAGGAAACCTCCTTTTGTTAAATTAGCCTTTATATCTACCTGTTAGGGTTCAACATCACATACAGTCCAACACTTCAAGCCTTCACTTTATAAATAATGCTTCACTCTCAGTGCCAATAACTAACTCTAGTGTTTAAGTTCATCATGCTGCAAACGTTTCATTAATGTAACTTACTAGTTTTCAATTTGACGTGTTTTTTTTCTATCAGTTATAATACTCATAATTGGTCGTCTGTCCTTTAAAGTAGGGTTATTACTTTCTTCCCTTGGCACATATTGAGCTTTACCRATCTCTACATATGCTGGACTCTTTAGAAACTGACACCTGCTGTTTATTCACATTTAAAAGGTAAATTTGGTGGGTGTACCAGTCTTTTAAAATGCAAWATAAACACACCACTTTGGTGCAAAATGTTGTAAAAAGAAAATCATGGCTGGTTGTAAATATTTGATGTGACACAACAGTGCAGCGAAGACAATCTCCTCTTAAAGCTGCCGTTAAATGTTCTTAAATCCTCGGGCTAGCCATGCCCCCCAACAGYTTTTACACAAAGGAAGCCTGCGTTGTGCAGCCATAGGAAGATGGTYGTATAACTCAGGCACAACAGCTGCAGGTTTCCTCTTAACCCCCATACTACCTTAGTCCTTTCTCAAGTCACATTGCAATGGGAAGCCTACCAGGCTCAACTCTAAAGAGTTTTGTGAAAAGTGCTAGTGTTCACCTGTGTTTCTGCCATAGACTTAAATATATAGATCACTAGAGTGAGCCCCGCCCATACCATACACTGGTAGCATCTGTGACAACATGGAGGAGCAAAACTGACGTCTAACAGGGCAACAGCTCACAGCCTCCATAGAAACTAATAGATAAACAGCATGCTTGTTTTTACAATAAATTAATAACTATGTTAATTTCATTCAACAGTCATGTAAAACAGCAGATTTATACC